GGCAGGGGGTGAGTTTGAAGGTAGCTGGTGGTACTGGATGGCAGGGGTGAGTTTGAAGGCAGCTGGTGGTACTGGATGGCAGGGGGGCGAGTTTGAAGGTAGCTGGTGGTACTGGATGGCAGGGGGTGAGTTTGAAGGTAGCTGGTGATACTGGATGGCAGGGGTTGAGTTTGAAGGTAGCTGGTGGTACTGGATGGCAGGGGGGAAGTTGAGTAGCTGGGGATAATGGAGGCAGGGGGGAGTTAGGAAGGTACCTGGGGTATGGATGGCAGGGGGTGAGTGAAGTACCTGTGGTTACTGGATGGCAGGGTGAGTTTGGAAGGTACTGGTGATAAGGGTGGCAGGGGGTGAGTTTGAGGTACCTGGGATACTGGATGGCAGGGGTGACGTTTGAAGGTACTGGTGATTGGATGAGGGGGATAGTTAGGGTACCTGGTGTACTGGATGCAGGGGTGAGTTTGAAGGCAGCTGGTAGGTCTGGATGGCAGGGGGTGAGTTGAAGATAGCTGGTGGTACTGGATGGGCAGGGGGTGAGTTTGAAGGCAGCTGGTGGTACTGGATGGCAGGGGGTGAGTTTGAAGGTACCTGGTGGTACTGGATGGCAGGGGGTGAGTTTGAAGGTACCTGGTGGTACTGGATGGCAGGGGGTGAGTTTGAAGGTACCTGGTGATACTGGATGGCAGGGGGTGAGTTTGAAGGTACCTGGTGATACTGGATGGCAGGGGTGAGTTTGAAGGTACCTGGTGATACGGGATGGCAGGGGGTGAGTTTGAAGGTACCTGGTGATACGGGATGGCAGGGGGTGAGTTTGAAGGCAGCTGGTGGTACTGGAAGGCAGGTGGAAAAACAGTGAGGTTGGAAGGAGGTACTGAGGGTTATCAGGTAGGAAAGGTGAACGCTGAGGGAAAACCAGGTAGGACGGATAGGGAAGGATGGGGGAGGAGAGGGGTCATCACGTCCCGGGTTAGGGGCCCATTAGTTTCCGGCAACAAGGGAAAGAGTGTTAGGGGGAGGGGGTGGAGGTCCTACTCTCCAGGGGTGACTGAGTGCGGGGGTGGGGGAATACTCCCTTAGGGAACATGTTTCTCCATCACGTATTCTCCCCACCATAACTTACCTTGGTAGGGGAAGATTGGGGAGGGGAAAGAGTGAAGGGAGGCTTAGGTGGAGATGCGGCGGTGGAAAAGGTGAATAGGAAAAGAAGATAGTGGGATTCATTGGGAAAGAGAGAGAGAGAGAGAGAGAGAGAGAGAGAGAGAGAGAGAGAGGAGAGAGAGAGAGAGAAGAGAGAGAGAGAGAGGAGAGAGAGAGAGCTGATGTAGGTAACAGCATTTAGCTCGTAAATAAAGTTAGGAATCTTTAACCTAACCTTGTAGAACCCATATAAAAAAAAGAGAGAAAAAAAATAGAGAGAGACAAATAAAGACGCGGTTACAAATGCATATCTAATGCAAACACGTTCCTGTAAAAAAAAAAAACAAAGGCGAAATAAATATGAGGGACCCCAGGACAGTTCTAGAGGTGGTACCTCCCTATATTTTAGAGAAAATTGTGAAAAGTCCACGGACTTTCGGTTCTTCGTTTAGATAAGGAGGGAAAATATCACCAAGAACCAAATTTCAATGTTTGTTTAATTCATGTTAAGCGCTAAACCCACGTGGGCCATTCAGCGCATGCCGTGATGGAGGCTTGATCCTCTGTCTGTTGAGCGCCAGACAGGCGCCTTTCTTATTTGTACTCGCCTAGATCTTTTTTTTTAATGATTCCTGAAATTACAGAAAAGTTGGTGGGCAGGTAACCAGGTTGGTCAACTAACATTTAGAAGTGAATAAAAGGAAGGACATCAGGACAGGATTATGGAGGTTAACCTCCAGAGGGTCTCTAGCTAAACCCATAATATTTACGTTAATTCTGATCTGTTATTCTTGTGTATTACACATAAACAGATGAATGTGTGGGTACTCGAACTGTGGTGGAGGTCAGGTACTGTAACCATTTAGCCACAGAGCTTACAAATAGGAAGATCTTGCAGTCAGCAACACTGTGATGTTGCATCAGCGGCACCGGGGATCGAACTGTAGCCCTGGTATGTAGCAATTACTTTACTTTGGTCAGTCGTAACCCTTCTAGGAGTGACTTACGTGACCAAGGAACTTGATCATTGGTCTGAGAAACTGACATTTAGATTGATCTTTAAATCGGCTTCAAATTTACCAAGAACAAAGCAGATCCAGTGCTTTACCACTGAGCTGTGAGGCTTTCGACAGGAAGAATCCTGACACAAAGCTTGTAATCATGCTTCCGTCAGTGGCTATAGTCTGTGACTTGACTCTTTCCTCCTACGGCCACGGAAACTCTCGCAGTAAATCCATTCTTACACCTTTTGAAGCCACGTAGTCTATAAACTCAATATAAGTCGTAATAAATGACTCAGTGAATAAACAGAATGGGAAGGGGATCGAACTGAAGCTCTGGTATGTAAGGGAAGAGGTGCTGCTGATCACAGGGCAATTTTGTTGACAGGCCAAGACTCTTGGACCCTAGGTAAAAATGTAACAGGATCCTTCAATAAATTGGGTTCCAGGCTGGGCACATGCACCATATCGTGAACTGTACCAGCATTCGTAAGGCAGCCAACTGTACCCGCTTCGCTGACCCAGTGAAGCTGCCGTCACAATTCAGGCGATGGTTCAGAGCCAGGCTAGTGGCTCTTAAACGTAAAGACGAGGCCCCTGGGACACACCAAGATGTGTCCCACCTCATCCTGTGAGAATCCTCTAAGATACTGTTCTAGTTTTGCTGATCCTTCCTTGACATTTTATGTTCCGAACTCTCACTCTCACTACACCTTATTCTAATTCATTCATTCTCTCTCTCTCATTCCCTTCGCTGTTATCTCATTATTTTTTTCCGAGACATGAAAAAAATGAAAGACAGGAACATTGTGCAAAAGAATTTGAAGTCAGAGATACATCAGGAATGTTAGCAGATGTGGCTTCCCGTTATTCATTTAGTTGGGTTCACTGAACACAGAGTCGCACTGTCCTCAATGAGCTTTCAGTTCTGCGTTGTCATCATTGAAGGTGATGTACTTGGAGTCTACCTGGAGTGTGTTCCGAAGGTCAATGCCCCCGGTGGATGGCCTGATCAACGTAGCTGTTAGTGCTAGCAGCAATAAGTCCAATGTTAACACCACAGCTCCGACCTGAGAAACTCGTCCAGTTCTTTCCTGAAGACAGCCAGGGGTCGGTTGGTAATACCCTTTCTGTATGAAGGGAGGACACTGAAAAGTCTTGGTCCCTTGGTGGCCCGGTGGTCTGGTGGCTAAAGCTCCCGCTTCACACACGGAGGGCCCGGGTTCGATTCCCGGTGGGTGGAAATTCCGACATGTTTCCTTACACCTATTATCCTGTTCACCTAGCAGCAAATAGGTACCTGGGTGTTAGTCGACTGGTGTGGGTCGCATCCTGGGGGACAAGATTAAGGACCCCAATGGAAATAAGTTAGACAGTCCTCGATGACGCACTGACTTTCTTGGGTTATCCTGGGTGGCTAACCCTCCGGGGTTAAAAATCCGAACGAAATCTTATCTTATCACTTATCCCCTTAGTGTACATAATGTACCCCTGTTTTTCACTGAGTATTTTGCACCGTCTGCCAAGCCTTTTACCCTCATGGGGAGCAATTTTTATGTGCAGATTTGGGACCAACCCTTCCAGAATTCCCAAGGTGTAGAGTTTAATATATATCTCTCGCCTACATTCCAAGGAGTACAGACTGAGGAATTTCACACATTTCAAGTAATTTAAGTGCTTAAATGAATCTATTCGAGCAGTAAAGGCGCTCTGCACATTCTCCAGGTCTGCAGTTTCACCTGCCTTGAACGGAGCTGTTAAATACAGCAGTACTCCAGCTTAGAACAAACTACCTGAAGAATATTATCAATGACTTGGCATCCCTTGTTATGAAGGTTCTTGTTATCCCCTGTGACTGTGATGTCACTGTCGTGATCCTTGTAAGTGAGATCTTCTGACAGTCACTCCTAGGTCTCTCACGTTAATATTATGCCGTAGTGGGTGCTGAGGTCCTCTGGTCTGGCTAGTTCAAAATTCTTATTATACATCCTATACTCACCCTGTGGATGGTAGTCAAAATATTACAGAAGCATATAATAATCCATGCCCTGGGCCCCAAAGTTTTGATAGCTAAGCAATTTAATGTGGTAATGAGATATTTGCATCTTTATCTGGTTACAATCATAAATGATTAAATCACAAAATTATTAGCATTGCTTAAAGCTGCCTTTTAATTATGTTGCCAAATATTTTAGCGAAGTATGGTCGATTTTAAACAAGTTTAAGTTATGAGTTATTAACAATAGGGAATGTCGGGGTATATTTTCTTTACAGAATAGTTGGTAATATGCCACTGTGGATAAAATACTGTGACGATTTCTAAACATCTGTGAGTTTACTCTTTATTAATTTGATCGAGTTCCAGCACATAGCCCTGTTGTCTATACAGATCTGGTTGTATAGATCACAGTTATTTATGCTGCCTAGAGTCATTAGTACTTATAATTCTTGTCACCTATGTTCTTCGGGCAATTATTTTTCCCTCATACTTACACCTATGAAACAGATTCTGACCCCTTCCCCCCTCCCTCATTTCTCGCCCTCTCCTCAATACAACACTCGTCTAACTTCTCCAATATTCACCTATGCACTGCTCTCCCACTTCTTTCTGTACCTACGCTTCACCTACCACCCACTCTATAACAATACAGTCTCCCCCTCCACCTCCACCCTCCCCTTCTCTCGCACAGTCCCCGTTCACCTTCACCTATGCAGCACCCGCCCACACCTCCCTTCCACCCTTAATCATGCAACCTCTACCCTCTCTAGCCTATGCAACACCCACCCTTCACGAAACCCCCTGCCCACCTCCTCCCTCATTAGTACAACACCCGCCTATGCAACCCCAGCTCGTTCTTCCCTCACCTCTCTGCCAGAACTCGGTGGGTCCTGGGACTCTGACAGTTGACGGACCATTCTGTGTTGCCGTGAGCGTTGCAGATGGTGATGGAGAAGCGGCCATAGTTGGCCCTGATCACATTGATAACATTCCCCGGCGCGCAGTCTATACTGAGAGTAGTTCCTTCACAAGCGTACGCCGTCCTGTACGTTTGACCTGAAGAAGAGAGAGAGAAAAACATGACATTTAGTAATGCTAGTAGAACTTATTCACAAACCCGCACAAATGAGTATAAATCTTAGGGTTCAGTTTGAACCATAAATTAGTCACACACACGCACGAAGGTAAGGGAGTCAGTATAAATATACAAAAGGAGGGCAAAGATGGGACAAAGAGAGGAGGAAGAAAGAAATGGAGATAGCAGTGGTAGAGGTAGTAATTAAATGCAATGGTATCTCTATAAGTTGGTGGAACGAGTTTATAATTAGTTTGTGGAATGTATTTTTTAGTTTGTGTAAATGGAGTGGGTTTGAGTTTGTAAAGGTGGAATAATATAATTATCTTGCACTGCCATTATTATTATAATTATTAATTTTTATTTTGTCACTATTTCAAAGAAAAGTAAGTGGCAAAAAATGCAAAAAAAAAAAGTTAAATTGCAAATAAATCTGCACAGAAAAAATTTTAGTCACTCCACTACAGAAAGTTTGAAACCGACCGACCCGAAGCAGTGTCCAGTTATTGAAAAAAAAAACAATTACGTATATTAGTTGAGAAAGGGGAAAAAATCGTACTTAGGAGAGGAAGTTGATGTTAACGTTTCGGCCCATCGCGAGCCGGTGTCAACACGAATGGTTCAGGATGGACCAAAACGTCCTCATGAGGTGCCGCTCCTACGGTCGTGTTAGGGATAACTATTTCAACCAGTGTACTGTTGTCACCTTTTTATTCTCGATTACACCAGCTGGGTAATCATCTTAAGTTTCATATCTAAAGTAATTTGAGACATCAGTCATGAAACTGTTATGCTGGAGACATCAGTCATGAATCTGTCATGCTTGACTGCTTGACTGACTGCTTGGTTTCAAGCAGTCTCCTGCTTGACGACTGCTTGGTTTCAAGCAGTCTCCTGCTTGACGACTGCTTGGTTTCAAGCAGTCTCCTGCTTGACGACTGCTTGGTTTCAAGCAGTCTCCTGCTTGACTGCTTGGTTTCAAGCAGCCTCCTGCTTGACCGGTGGGTTTCAGGCAGTCTTCTGCTTGACATTTGGGGTGTTAACTAGCCTAAGAGGAGTGTTATATTCCATAAACTATTTTTTTTTTCATCTGTAGAGTGAACTTAGTCCTCTTTCTGCTTATTCGTGGTATGAGTCCAGTGCTATTGCTTGAGCGAGAGTGAGTGAGCTGATGAGTGGGGGCGAGGCCGAATAAGCTAGCCAGTTAGTAAGGGAGAGGGCGAGTCACTGTGGTAGACAGAAAAGCGAGCAAGCCAGGCAGCATAATGAGGTAGGTAGCGAGTGAAGGAGCGGCTTATTGAGTGGATGAGCCAATGAGTGAAACATAGGGCGAACTTGCAAGTGAATGTGTGAGGAAGAGGTCGAGTGACTGAATCAGTGAACGGCACAAGTGATGGATGGTGGCAGGCTAGGACACCATCAGTCAGCGGCGGTCCAGCCAACGCCACACCCTTGACTAATGGTACGGACAAGGATATTTCAAACAGCCATGGACTGGGGGAGGAAAAAATGCTGCAGACATTCATCTATACTGCCAAAGTTTACGACCTGCCGAGAAAGAAGGTGCAGAGTCTGGAAGGGAAGAGACACTTGGATTTACTCTAGTCGAGGGAAAAATTACCTGACGCGGATGTTATGTCCCACCACTGAATCTTTAGTGCCAGTGGAGAATGAAATTAGCTCCAGAGGCACCCTCACCACCGCATGTCCTGGGGCCAAGGGTAACACACCTAGCTTGGCTGAGTGCTTGGTTTTCGTAGGATTGTGTGGTCCTGTGGATCAGAGCGTCAGGGGTTTTCGCTCACCATGAGGCGGGCCAAAGCACCATGGGTTCGAATCCTTGGCTAGCTGCAGTGTTGATAATATATATATATATATATATATATATATATATATTTATATATATATATATATATAATTATATATATATATTATATATATATATATATAAACACTGATCTCTGGCTGAAGGAGACTCGAACCTACGAACCTTGGAACAAGGTACGCAGTGCTTTACCAATCTACCCACACTGGACCAATACCTTGGAGTCCAGCTAGTAAGGCTGATGCATGCAGGGGATAAGATGAAAAGCTGTAAGCCTTCTCCCTGAAAGCTGGCTGCCTTGGATCAAAAGTCTAGCGCAAGCTGGACTCCAAGGCATTGGTCCAGTGTGGGTAGATTGGTAAAGCACTGCGTACCTTGTTCCAAGGTTCGTAGGTTCGAGTCTCCTTCAGCCAGAGATCAGTGTTTGTGTATATTTCGCCTGCTCTTGCAGGCGAAATATACACAAACACACACACACACATCCCGGTAGGGTCGGAGACCCTTGGAGTATGAGGCAAGTGTGTGCTCTGAAGTTCCTCAGAGAGCTGAGTGAAAAGCTCATCACAGAAACCAAGGATCACAGAGCGGCCAGCTTCCTCTTTCAGAAACTCAGTGTTGCGATCCAGAGGGTAAATGCCTGCACCATTCTGGTCACGTGGTCCACTGCCGGGGAGCTGGACGAGGTGTTTGAGATGCAGCTCTAAAATGTTATTTGTTGTTCTCATTTCTATTGTAACTTTGTTGATATATTTTGTTTATAAAATTATATTCGTGCCGAATATGTTAAACTTGCGATTTTGGTTTAAATATCAACGCTCTTCTTGCTGAATAAGGCAAGCGAAAATGTGTATGCAATAATTTCGCAAAAATCATTCTGAACCTAACGAAAAAAATATATTTCATTGTGTTTGTTTATTATTTAATTATTGTAAACTTATATAAAATATATTTAGTTGGATTAAGCTAAATTACATTGCACTTGTTATAATAAGATTAGGCAAGTTTTCTAAGGTTCTTTTGGTACAAAATTATCAATTTTTAATTTAATATAAATAAAATATATCTTTAAATGTATAAAAGAAAATTTTAGAAAGGACTTAATTTAAATGAGTTCTTTCTAACTGACTAGTTTTACATATTTGGCAAAACACACACACACTTTTTTCAACAAGTCGGCCGTCTCCCACCGAGGCAGGGTGACCCAAAAAAGAAAGAAAATACTTTCATCATCATTCAACACTTTCACCTCACTCACATATTATCACTGTTTTTGCAGAGGTGCTCAGAATACAACAGTTTAGAAGCATATACATATAAAGATACACAACATATCCCTCCAAACTGCCAATATCCCAAACCCCTCCTTTAAAGTGCAGGCATTGTACTTCCCATTTCCAGGACTCAAGTCCGGCTATATAAAAATAACCGGTTTCCCTGAATCCCTTCACTAAATATTACCCTGCTCACACTCCAACAGATCGTCAGGTCCCAAGTACCATTCGTCTTCATTCACTCCTATCTAAAACGCTCACGCATGTTTGCTGGAAGTCCAAGCCCCTCGCCCACAAAACCTCCTTTACCCCCTCTCTCCAACTCTTTCGAGGACAACCCCTACCCCGCCTTCCTTCCCCTATAGATTTATATGCTTTCCATGTCATTCTACTTTGATCCATTCTCTCTAAATGACCAAACCACCTCAACAACCCCTCTTCAGCCCTCTGACTAATACTTTTATTAACTCCACACCTTTTCCTAATTTCCACACTCCGAATTTTCTGCATAATATTTACGCCACACATTGCCCTTAGACAGGACATCTCCACTGCCTCCAACCGTCTCCTCGCTGAAGCATTTACCACCCAAGCTTCACACCCATATAAGAGTGTTGGTACTACTATACTTTCATATATTCCCTTCTTTGCCTCCATAGATAACGTTCTTTGACTCCACATATACCTGAACGCACCACTCACCTTTTTTCCCTCAATTCTATGATTAACCTCATCCTTCATAAATCCATCCGCCGACACGTCAACTCCCAAGTATCTGAAAACATTCACTTCTTCCATACTCTTCCTCCCCAATTTGATATCCAATTTTTCTTGATCTAAATCATTTGATACCCTCATCACCTTACTCTTTTCTATGTTCACTTTCAACTTTCTACCTTTACACACACTCCCAAACTCATCCACTAACCTTTGCAATTTTTCTTTAGAATCTCCCATAAGCACAGTATCATCAGCAAAAAGTAACTGTGTCAATTCCCATTTTGTATTTGATTCCCCATAATTTAATCCCACCCCTCTCCCGAACACCCTAGCATTTACTTCTTTTACAACCTCATCTATAAATATATTAAACAACCATGGTGACATTACACATCCCTGTCTAAGACTTACTTTTACCGGGAAGTATTTTCCCTCTCTTCTACACACCCTAACCTGAGCCTCACTATCCTCATAAAAACTCTTTACAGCATTTAGTAACTTACCACCTATTCCATATACTTGCAACATTTGCCACATTGCTCCCCTATCCACTATATCATATGCCTTTTCTAAATCCAAAAATGCAATAAAAACTTCCCTACCTTTATCTAAATACTGTTCACATATATGCTTCAATGTAAACACTTGATCTACACATCTCCTACCCACTCTGAAACCTCCTTGCTCATCCGCAATCCTACATTCTGTCTTACCTCTAATTCTTTCAATTATAACCCTACCATACACGTTTCCTGGTATACTCAGTAAACTTATTCCTCTATAATATAATTTTTACAATCTCTTTTGTCCCCTTTCCCTTTATATAAAGGGACTATACACGCTCTCTGCCAATCCCTAGGTACCTTCCCCTCTTTCATACATTTATTAAACAAAAGTACCAACCACTCCAACACTATATCCCCCCTGCTTTTAACATTTCTGTCATGATCCCATCAGTTGCAGCTGCTTTACCCCCTTTCATCCTACGTAATGCCTCACGTACCTCCACCACACTTACATTCTGCTCTTCTTCACTCCTAAAAGATGGTATACCTCCCTGGCCAGTGCATGAAATTACTGCCTCCCTTTCTTCCTTAACATTTAAAAGTTCCTCAAAATATTCTTGCCATCTACCCAATACCTCCCTCTCCCCATCTACTAACTC